AAGCTAACGAGAGGAATAATTACACTATGAAGCAGTTGTACATTTCTATGGCTCTGATGAGGAGCTGCCTCCTGCCTGTGTGAGCATCTGCTGCAGTACCACTTAGTGTCTCTCTCTCAGTTTCTCTCTCTCTCTCTCTTCTCTGTCCCTCTCTTTCTTCTTTACTCTCATGTTTTTTTGCTTTTACTGACTCTCTCTCTCTCTCTCTTCCTCTCTTTCTCTCTCTCTCTCCTTCTCTGTCTTGCTTCATCTTTCTCTCTTTCTCTCTGTTGCCATCATTCCCTTTCACTCCCTCTCTCTTTTTTCTCTCTTTGTCTCTCTCTCTCTCTCTCTTGCTTTCTCTTTCTCTTTCTCTCTGTTGCCATCATTCCCTTTCACTCCCTCTCTCTTTTTTCTCTCTTTGTCTCTCTCTCTCTCTCTCTTGCTTTCTCTTTCTCTTTCTCTCTGTTGCCATCATTCCCTTTCACTCTCTCTCTATCTCTCTTTTTTCTCTCTCTCCCTCTCTCCCTCTCTCTCTCTCTCGCTTTCTCTTTCTCTCTGTTGCTGTCATCCCTTTTCACTCTCTCTCGCTATCTCTCTTCTCTCTCTCTCTCTCTCTCTCCCTCTCTCTCTCCCTCTCTCTTGCTTTCTTTCTTTCTCTGTTATCATCATTCCCTTTACACACTCTGTCAATCTGTTTTGTTTTGTTTGTCCCTCTCTCTATATCTCTTTTTTCTCTCTCCCTCTCTATCTCTCTCTCTCCCTCTCTTTCTTCTCTCTCCCTCTCTCACTTTTTTGCTTTTAATGGCTCTCTCTCTCTCTGCCCCCTTTCACTGAGTTTCTAGTACTCACTCTCTTGTTCATTCTCTCTCTCGCTCGCCCCCCTCCCTTTATCATTCTAAATGAAAGAGCATAATGTAAGTTGTTTATCCTGTAAATATGCATGCTAAATATATCACACATGTACTTTCCTCCAGACCAGCTCTACATAAAAGCAAAACTGCAGCGAATACACAAACATGCACACGCACCACGGTTCAGACACGGCTGTCAGACGGCTGGAAGAAAAAAGAGCCTCGCGCTCAAATTCTGCTTTACAGTCACAGAGTCGCCGTTTCAGAGGTGTTTTATAAAGGCTTTCGTCTTCCTCCATCCGCTTACTGTATGTTCAGATTTTTGTTCAGCGGTGGGTGAGACTGTAGTTTCTTGGATTTCATTCAGGCTGGTTTTCATATTTATATAAATTAAAATAAAATAAGAATAACGTATAGTAAACTGAATGATGTCTACACTGTGGGAGTTTGTAGACACCTGCTTATCTGGAGTTTCTTCTGAAACGAAAGGTGTTAATAGTGAGTTTATGCTGCCGTAACAGCCTCTACTCTTCCGGGAAGGCTTTACACTAGATGTTGGAACATTGCTGTGAGGATTTGACTGAGCGTTAGTGAGGTCAGGTGCTGATGTTGGATGGTCAGTTCTGGATCACTCCAACTCATCCCAAAGGTATTGGATGGAGCTCCATCACTCCAGAGAGCACAGTTCCACTGCTCCACAGTCCAGTGCTGGGGGGCTTTATACCCCTCTAGCTCACACTTGGCATTGGACATGATGACCTCCAGAGTGTCCCATTCTAATGATCAGTGTTTTTCTATGGAGATACAAACTGGCAGCAGTGGGTACAGCTTAAAGTAGCTGAATTCACTCATTAGAAGGGCTGTCTGGATACGGCCATTGATAAAGGAAGGAATTACTAGGAATGAAATCTCTTTACATTCACTTGCATTGAACGTTAAGAACATTTTTGCCTTCTTCTGTAAAGTTACCAATTTGGAGAGACGTTTCTTTTGGACAGTGATTATATGCACGAGGAAAGGAGGCGCATTCTTCATATTCTGCATCCTTTTTCTGCTTGAAAGTGGCACTGAACGCTGAGTTTTTATCATGCCCATTGTAGAATTAGACATATAGTATATGTATGACCCCCATTTTTCCAACACAGGTATGTGTTGTAAAGGGGAACTCCACCGATTTTGCAAAATTACTTAATCAATCAACTGTTAAGATGTAAACAAAGTCATTCAGAGTAGTTCGGTGTGAAACGCGCCTTTCTAGAGAAATTTACAGAGTCAGAGTTGTTCAACATTATAGTACTATGAACCAGACGTCTGAATGTCTATACTACACATATCACCATTTTATCTGCTATTCAAAATGACCAGTGAACTTACATGTGTCTTATAAGGTTTTATATGTCACGCTGATATGGGTAAAGTAGTGCTTAAATTTTTTTTTGGGTACTATTTTTTCCTCACAGCGCCCCGCATCTACCTCTCCACCCTGCACGCCTTTTGTGTTGTTTGGTTGGCAGCATTGTGTCACACGGTCAGCAAAACTCAGAGCCTATATGAGTATTTATCAGAGGAGCTGCTATAGATCACAGTTGCACCTCGCTGTCCTGTCCCATAAACTGGTGAGCAGAGTAGCTGTCCTGATTTGTCCAAGGGAACGTGAATTTGAGGGGGAACTGAATCGGATACAACACTGGCGTTAGGCGTGTTGAATGGCTGTAGCTACAGGCTTGTAACTACAAAGGCACATTAGCTGGCGCATTGATATCAGTTGAGATGTGGTTTTGACAGGTAACATGGAAATAATCCGTAAGTAATATTTTTTACTCAAAATACATTTTAGGACAAAATTTTATAATAAAACTACAACCCCATTTCCAAAAAAGTTGGGACGCTGTGCAAAATGTAAATAAAAACAAAATGCAATGATGTGCAAATCATTTTTTAAACCCGATACTTAATTGAAAAAAGTGCAAACACAACAGATCAACATGTCTTTTTCAGGGAAGGCCATGATTGTTTCAGCAAGACGATGCCAAACCACATTCTGCCTGTATCACAACAGCATTGCTCCATATTAAAAGAGTCCTGGTGCTAAACTGGCCTACCTGCAGTCCAGACCTGTCACCACTGAAAACATTTGGAGGGTTATGAAATGAAAAATATGAACTGATGAGCAGCTGAAATCCTGTATCAAACAAAACAGGGAAAACATTTCACTTTCAAAACTACTCAGTTCCCAAACACTTACAGAGTGTTGTTAAAAGAAGAGGTGATGAAACACAGTGGTAAACAGGCCCCCGTCCCAACTTTTTTGGAACATGTTGTTGGCATCAAATTCAAAATGGGCATATATTTTTCAAAAAACTATAAAATTTCTCAGTTTCAACATTTGAAATAAAAAAATGTGGTTTACATGGTTTGCATATCACTGCATTCTGTTTTTATTTACATTCTGCACAGCGTCCCAACTTTTTTGGAAATGGGGTTGTATCACAAAACACTGACTCAGGCATCAAGCAATGCATTTGTGACCGTTTTATGTAATAACTTAACAGGATGTAGACGTCTGGTTCCTAGTACCATAATGGTGAATAATTCTGACTCAGTAAATTTCTCTGGAAAGGCGCATTTCACACCGAACCACTCTGAAAGATTATAATAACCGCTGAACGACTGAATGTTTAAGTAATTTTGCAAAATCGGTGGAGTTCCCCTTTAAGTGTTATAAATCATTGTGAATTAGTTTTTTGAGTATTTTGCAAAGTGCAAACTCCCGTGAAGTTCAGTCAAAAAAAAATCTCTTAAAATAAAAAGTGTGTAATGATGTACACATATTTGAGTCATCAAAGACCTTCTTCAGCGTCCAGCCAAAACAATAAAAAAGCCACGTGTGTTTTTACCCTTTTTTCCTTTGTTCCTGAATGTGTTGCTAATTGAAATGACAGGAACTGTCTCTCTCCGTCAAACGAAAAGACAGGCATGTGTAGCTCTGGGGCCTCGCCTGAGGGTTGATGACGAGGTGACAGAGGATGAAATAGAACAATTATTGTGTTCACCTTACCACGGCCCTCTTTTCTTCCCATTCTCAATTTTTCATAAGCCAAATGAATGATTCAATGTTTCTATTACACTTTTATTAGATCTCATTTTTAAAAAACTGCATAATTAAAGAACGAAACGGCGTCTCCTCCTCCACAGCCTGCTCTCCCCACCATTTCAAATTACACCTCTTCCAAGTCATTTCCACAGTCATCGACCTATTAAGATTAATGATAAAAACAATAGTCTCCCTCACAAAGCCCTCTTACGCTCTGAGCGCCTCTCAGCGCTGAGATTTGGGCTTAATTGTGAGTTTAATTGGAGGCTATATGTGCCTCGTTCTTTTTCGCTGTATGCGGCCGTTTGGGACGCGATCACACACTACATGTATTTACTCCTGAAGATGCCTGCCAGACACTTTCGCGTCGGATTTATCGCTTTGTGTTGTTGTTGATAAAAATAAATAAAAATAAAATATTCTCATAAATATAAATGGGATTGAATCATCTTTCACAGTAGTTCGACGCTCTGAAACATTGAGTTTGCCAACAAAAATTTCCCATTTTGTTTGAGCAGTAGATCTAAAAATGTGTAGTCGTAAAGGGGAATTCCACCAGTTTTTTAAAATTTTTGCTTAGTTAAATGGTTAAGATTTAAACAGAATCACTCAGAGTGGTCAGAACTTTTCAGTGGTGGTGATAGGAACCAGACGTCTGAATAATTTAATACTTCTAAAAACATTGAATATATATATATATATATATATATATATATATATGTGTGTGTGTATCGCTGCTGTCGGAACAAAACCTCTTATGTCCATTTTTGTCGTTTTTCAGTTTTTGACATAATTCGAAAATGCCAAAATTGCCATAATTACCAAAAATTACCAAATACCAAAATTGCTTGAAAAAAGTCTGGTTCCATTCACTTACATTAAAAATAAAGTCAACATGTTCTGTCTCCTCTAAAGTTACCATTTTGGACCTACGAGGTAGGTAGGTAGGTAGGTAGGTAGGTAGATCTATAAACACTCAGCTGCAGTGCCATTTGTTGATGTCTGACTCTGTGTTTCTCTCTCTCTCTCTCTCTCTCTCTCTCTCTCCTCCCTCTCTCTCTCTGTGTGGACAGTGCCAGGTTTTCCATACCCAGCTGCCACGGCGGCTGCAGCATACAGAGGGGCGCACTTAAGAGGGAGAGGACGCACCGTCTACAACACGTTCCGGGCAGCTGCTCCTCCACCGCACATCCCAGCGTACGGAGGGTGAGTCCAGACACGCTACGGGTGGGAGGAAAAAACTCAGTACTGCATTATATCACATCATTCTGGATGAAAAAATCTTAGTGATTCACAGAGGACCAAACGGGCACCGTTTTCCACTGCAGATGTAGTTCATCAGCCAAGACACGTTTGGTGACCAAAGTTTGCTTCTTTAGTTGCTAATAGTTGCTAACAAACACTAGAAGTTAATAGTCACCCAAATCATTTCCATAAATACATCCCCAATACTTCCATGACGGAGATGCCATTCTCACTATTATAACTCATAAAACGATTTTAAAGCTGTTGTTATTGTAAGTTGTTGCAAATTGTTACATAATAGTGCTTTATTCTCTGATAAAAGGGTATCAGCTCTATCAGAACAAAACCACACATCTCCAAAATGATACCTTAAAGCAGCATAAAACATTCTCAAATTTTAACACATCGCTGTTGTCGTTTTTCGGTTTTTGACATAATTTGAAAACAGCCTGTTGCTCTTTACATTGTGTGTAAATTTCATGATGAATGGACCAAAAGAAACGGCCCAAAATGACTCGGGAAGATGTCTGGTTCCATTGACTTACATTAAAAGTAAAGTAGGTTTTTTCCTTCTCCTGTAAAGTTACCATTTTGGAGATACGAGGTTTTGTTCAGACAACGGAGATAAGCTAATGTAACAAGATTTGTGGTCCATTCATCATGAAAATGTTTACACAATGCAAAAGGCAGCTGGCGTTTTAAATGGAGTTATGAGGTTTTTGATAAGACGGCATCAGTGTGCAGTCAGATGACTGATCATTTCGACCTGTTTCTCTGTGTGGCTGTAAGTGTCTGAAGCTCTAGGAGAAAATGTGTGAAAGTGCAGAAATCTCATGAGGCTCAGTAACCACAAACCCTCCAGCCGACTGATCTTCTCCGTTACTTTTATAAACTGACAGAGACGATTATGGAGATGCACGACCTTCCAAAACCTGTTTTCACTAACGTCATTCTAGTAATAGGGTTATCCTGTATGAGGCTCTACCTTAAATTACTGATTTGAACTTATTGTGGGTTATGAGAGGCGGCTGCAGTCTGGAGTGAGGTGATTTCCAGCGAGGTTCTCCAGAAGAGCGGGTTTCTGAAAAATACATGCAGCAGTCACTAAATCAATATGTTTAATGATTGAAATGAGTCCGAACGAATACCAAACATAAACGTAATAAATCCCTTAATTCAATTTCAGGACGTTTTAAAAAGCCTTTCCTTTTCTTTGATGAAGTGTTGCTCCACAGTCATGTGGTGATATGTTTATCAGTACCTGTTCTAATTCTCATTAAGCGTCTTCATTTTAAAAGAGCACGATTCAGCGTGAGAGTCATCTGTTTGAATGAATCGCTGTAAATGAGAACTTCTTTTTAGAGGTGCGTTTATTAATGTACTTGTATTATTTGTGTCAGATTTATTCTGTTTCGTTTTGTAGGCTGGATGAGTGACCCGTCCACTCAGCCATGGGTGCTGAATAGAGCTGCACAATACATCAATTGCTAATCGTGATATTGTCCTTTAATATACTGATATTGTAGAAGGCCGCAATATGCAAATGAGCCCTCTGCAATATGCAAATGAGCTCTGATAAATCGCTAACTTGTTTTACTTTGTAGTGTGAGCATCCTGACCAATCTAGACCACTTTTTAACCACACAGAGGATCGATTGATGTCCCTTTAATATATTGCAACACAATACTCAGCAATATAATCGCAATACTAGAATTGTGTCTGTATCGTCCAGCCCTACATCTCAACCTTCCTGCCCTAAAATAAGGACTGCTAGTAATTCCTCAGTGTCTTCTTGTTCACATATTCACTTATACTCACATATTACAATCACTTGTCATATTAATAGTGTTTTATTATTAATAACTTCCACGGTGTGGATTTGTTTTCAATGCAAACCTGACAACAAATTATATTGTTGATGTCTTTTATTCAAAACATCAGAAAGTCGTTTGTATTTTGGGAACAACAAGAACTTGTTTAACAATGTACTATTAATGGTAATTGATTATGAATGTATCCATTCTGGATATTAATTTTATTATAGATTCATTTTGAATATTAATTGTATTAGAACTTCATTCTAGAAATTAATTTCACTATAGTGGACTATTTTGGATATTATTTTTATTATAACTTAATTCTGAATTTTAATTCGATTAGAATTTCAGTTGGAATATTTAACATTTAATTTTAGCATCATTCTGGATATTAAGTTCAAAGATAGTACAATTTTATTATAGATTCATTTTGAATATTAATTGTATTAGAACTTCATTCTAGAAATTAATTTCACTATAATAAAATATTTTGGATATTTATTATAACTTAATTATGGATGTTAATTTTATTAGAATTTCAGTCTGAATATTCATATTATTTAGCATCATTCTGGATATTAATTTTATTTTAGATTCATTTTGAATGTTGTAGTAGAACTTCATTCTAGAAATTAATTTCACTATAATGAACTGTTTTGGATATTATCTTTATTAGAACTCAATTCTGAATATTAATTTTATTAGAATTTCAGTCTGAATATTCATTTTAGTTTGGCTTCTGGATATTAATTATATTAGAACTTAATTCTAGAAATGTATTTCACTATAATGTATTAATTTGGATATTACCTTTATTATAACTCAATTCTGAATGTAAATTGTATTAGAATTTCAGTCTGAATATTAATTTTATTTAGCATCATTCTGGATATTAATTTTCCTCAGTGGATGTTATGCAGCTGTCATTTTAGACTCTTTGTTCATCATAAAGCTGTGGAGTATGAACACATTAAAAAGATCATATAAATGTATCTGTAACAAAATCAGCATGATATATAATTGGAAATAATGATTGCAAACATCTGACAGGTCATTCCAAAGTTTTGGACAGGAGTGTATGCATAACTCATGTTATGCTAGCTTTGCCTAATGTACAGTACTGTGCAAAAGTCAGAGACCCTTCATTTATTAAACATCCAGTCAAAACAGCCATTAAGCACAACTTTTCAGGGGATATTACTGAGGAGGTGAAGTATAAGATAATTCACTTGAGTTGCCAAGACTGCAGTTCAAAAACTGATTAACAGCTACAGAGAAAATGTGGCTCCTAACAACCACCTGGAAGAGCTGGTCGACCCCAAAACTGCCCCCATCAGATAAACAGCACTTAAAGCTTTCATCTCTGAGAGAGAGGAGAAAATCAAGCTGCTTCAGATCTGAAAACATCCACAGGTGTTTCTGTCCATCCTTCCACTGTGAGAAGACGACTCAGCGCTGTGGGTCTGAAAGGAGGTGTAGCTGTCAAGAACAACCTCACTGAGAAAAGGAGACGGACACATCAAACAAAGAAGCTGAACGATGGACTGACCACCCCAGAGTCCAGACCTCAACACCACTGAATGTGTTTGATTACTTCAGAAAATGATCAACCAGCTTCTAAGACTGAACTTTGGAGGTGTGTCTGCAGATTCTTTGAGGAACTGAAAGTGAGTCTCCTGAACAGAATGGAAGCTGGAATGAAGGGAAAGAGAGACTCACTCAACACTTTGTGCTTCATAGACATGTTGAGTGTAAATTAAATAAACGAAGGGTGCTCTCTGACTTTTCTGCAGTCCTGTGTGTGATTTAAAGGTGTTAATCAGTTGCACATGAATTAAAAATCATTATTTTGTAAATACACATGAACTAACATGACTGTGTGTGTTTTCTGTGTTTCTCCCCCAGCGTTGTGTACCAGGACGGATTTTATGGTGCAGATATTTATGTAAGTATAAACTGATACTGCATGCTGTCCTTAAGTGTCCATGCCCCATCCTTCTGACTGTAAACACAGCAGCCTGATTCATAGCGACACGTTCTCACCTCATCTCTTATTCAGGGGTTATCGACTGTATCTTAATTTAAGCTTTTATCTGTTAGATTAGTCATTATGTCAAGTGACCCTGGGACTAGAGTCCGAGATGTTTTTACCAAACAGCAGAGCCAAACAGCCGTAGGCACAATATGCCATTATTCAGCAGAGGGGACAGCGACGTGCTGAGTGAGCCTCTCTCTCTCTCTCTCTCTCTCTCTCGCTCCCCTGGCTGCAGGGCAAACAGCTACCTGAGCCAGTTTAAAAAAAGAGAGTGCAGAGCAAGTTTGGCAGTAGTGTGAAAGAGACAGAGGGAGGGAGAGAGAGAGATAGAAAGACAGAAAAAGGAGGGAAAAAGAGAGAGAGAGAAGGAAAGGAAGGGGGAGGACAAGGAAGAGAAAGAGAGGAAGAGAAAGAGAGAGGGAGAAAAGCTAGGAAGAGAATGAGAGAGGGAGGGAGAAAGACAGAAAAACAAGGGCGAAAGAAAGAGTGAGGGAAAGGAAGAGAGAGGACAAGTGAGAGAGAGAGGAGTAAGGCAAAGAGAGGAAAAGAGAAAGAGAGGGAGAAGAAGGAAAGAGAGGATGAGGAGAGAAAGAGAGAGTGAGGGAAAGGAAGAGAGAGGACGAGTGAGAGAGAGAGAGAGGAAGAGAGTGAGGGAAAGGAAGAGAGAGGACGAGGAGAGAGAGAGGAAGAGAAAGAGAGAGGGAGAAAAGCTAGGAAGAGAATAAGAGAGGGAGGGTGAGAGAAAGAGAGGGACTTAGTAGAAATAGAAAAAGAGATGAAAGCAGAGAGGGGATGAAAGATGAAAGGTAATAGAGAGATGGAGAGGAAGAAAGGGAGAAAAATGGGGGATGGAGAGAGCAAGAGAGAGGGAGAGAGACAATAAGAGAAAGAGGGTAGAGAGAAATAGAGAGAATGGGGAGAGAACAAGAGAGAGAAAGGGAGGGAGAGGAGAAAAGAAGACAAAGAGAAAGGGTGGGCAGAAAAGAGAGAGGAAGAAAAAGAGCAACAAAGAGAAAGGAAAGAGGACAAGTGATAGAAAGAGAGATGGAGAAAAGCTAGAAAGAGAATAAGAGAGGGCGGGAGAAAGAAAGAGCAAGTGAGAGACAAAGGGAGGGACTAAAGGAGAAATGAAAGATGAAAGGAAAGAGGGAGTGAAAGAGGAAAGGTAATAAAGAGATCGAGGGAAATGGGAAATAGAGAGAGCTAGAGGGAGAGAGGGAGACAGTAAGAAAGAGGGAGAGAGAAATAGAGAGAAGGAGGGAGAGAACAAGAGAGAGAAAGGGAGGGCAAAGAGAGAGAGAGAGGTGCAAGAGAGAGAGCAGTAGAAGCAGTTGAGCAGCAGAGCTCTGTGCTGTGAACTGAGTATGAACAGATGTCTCTGGAATGGATGGTCAGCAGAAAAAAGGAGTTCGAACTGGATCTCTCATCAAGCCTGATAGAGTTCAGGGCTGCACACTTACTGTTATAGGCAGTAGCGCTGCTGCCAGCAGGCTAACAATGAAGGGGCATTAAAAACAAATCTTTTTAGCCGCTGTGAGTTAAACTATTATGTTTATGTTTTGGGGATAAGGAGGAGACTTGAATGACCACAGCTGCCCTTTCGGATGAGCTAAATCTAAAGCTAATGATACAGCTAACGACAGAGCTAACGCTTAGATGGTAGGTCGTGGTCTTCAGGATGTTTTCTCCTCAGTGATGATGCCTTGTTTGGTAACACAGCAAAATAAACATCTTTGCATTGTTTTTGGTTTTAGTTAACGCCAGCTATCATATATCATAGCTAACACAAATGATATACAGTAGTTGGAGTGATCCACCTAGAGCAGGGGTCGCAGCCCGAATGTCAAGAAGATGTCAACAAAAATCAAATCACCTCGGGAGCCACAACATTTTATGTCCATTTAACCAGCTTGGCTGTAAATATGTATCAGTGTGTGCTGATGTACTAGTATAGACTAAAAAATATAATATAAACGAAAACACAGACTTACTTTGCTCTGTTTTAAGCTTTAGCTTAGCTATAGCCGCTTTTCTCGCATCTCCAGCAGGAAACTTTTCCGCAAAAGTAGAACAGCTTTCTTGTAAAATGTCTCTCAGTGTTCGACTGAAGGCTGAAGTCGCTTCTCTTTTGCCAACTTCTTTTCTAATTTCCCCGTTCCACTTTAAATGGTGCCTGAAGCACCAGAATGTAACTGCTGCAACATTTAAGATGGAACGGGACAGTTCGAACAAAGAGCAGGCGAAACGAGAAACTGACTTTTAGTCACTTTTTAGTGTTTGTCAGTTTCTCACTGCAGATTAAACGTATCAGGAAACCAGCTGGAGTGATTATGAATGTAATTAAGTCCATTCGTCTCCAAATTATCAATGTTCGTCTTAAATCTCTCTCTCTGCCGTTTCGTTAGCTACTAGCTAGGCGAGATTGTTGTCTATGTTGCTATGGCGACCATCAGTCTGCGCTGATCTTCAGGGTTAAAGGGTGAATTAGCAGTTCTACATTAACTCCAGAGTTTAAGACCATTTATTGTTAAACTGTGTTGAACGATCAGCAGAGCTTTATTTTACTGTAAAGGAGGATTATTTTAGTTTTACCTACAAAACTGATTCTGCTGTGGAGCACAACAGGGCAGTAGAAGAGCCGCATGCAGCTCCAGAGCCGTGTGTTGCCAACCCCTGGCCTAGAACTGTTTCTTTTGCTGATTTGAGTAAAACTCAGCGATATCAATGCAAAGGATTGCGCATGTTTAAGTGCATTTCTGTTCATCTTCACAGCGAATATTTTTCCACAAATGCAAGCAAAACTGTCGCCCAGTGCAGCCCTGGCAGTCTGATGGACCTGCCCAGTTTGCCCTTCTCTGGAACCGAACAAATTGTGCAGGGTGACAAATGTGTGTGGAAATGGCGTGAGGGCTGCACTAACGCACCCTCTGCTCCCCTGCCATTAGCCAGAGCGCCACTGCGCCTCCGATTGATTACACCGCCGCGATAAGTTCATTTGATATTCATTAGAAACTAGCCGAGAACTGTATTTGTGTTTATCACTCAGCATCGTTTGCAGAGTGCAGTGGAAAATTCAGGGAATGTTGGACGGTGAGGAGTGCGGAATGAATCCGCACTAGCATAAAATAGACCAGCCTGTGCCAAGGCGCTGAGATGTGCCAGTTAAACAAAGCGAGGGAGTGCAAAGCCACACGCGACGCTGCTGCAATAACCCAGCGTCTACCATAGGGGAAAGAGCCGGGAAATTAAACTGGCAACAACCCACCCGTCAGAAACGAGCGTAATTCGGCTAAATACGCCGGGTAAAAAATGCATTTCGGGAGATTCCAGAGATGCTTTAATACGTAACTGTCAAATCCATTAGGGAAATCAAAACATTTGCCTCCAAATAAGAGGTTTCAATTAAAAAGCAGCGCCGCAACCAGAACACGGTGTTGCTTTCTCGCTCATACAGCCGCTAATAAATGGCTTTGTTGAGCATAGCGAGAACGGCTGCTATAAAAGCTATAACGAGCGCTCGAAGAGGAAGACAGTAGCGCTCGCATCAATTATTGTCTCTTTTACAGGCGTTCTGTGAGCAAGTAGCACCCAGCGCCGAGCGGGCAGACAAACGCGCACCCACGCAGGAGCGCTCGAGCCGAGCCGTGCGCTTCAGTGGGCCTGATAAGCGTCCTGTGTCCACACTCGCTGCAGATAGATGGGAGCAGTCGGGGTAGAAACAGAACCAGTGGAGCCCTTCTTCTTCCTCTGCTCCTCTCACATACACACACAGGCCTCCTCACTCACTCTCTGTCACTCTCTCGCCCTCTCCCTCTCTCTCTCCTTGCCGAGAGTCATAAAGATAAATGATGGCCTCCCTCCAGCTGCGTGGCTCAGTATTAAACTCCTGACCACTGTTCACACACCGTGCTGCAAGCTGTCAGTCTTCTCCAGAGCTTAGTTGACCGAGCCTGATGGAGGCAGGGGTCCATGCAGATGCACGCAGTTTCCTTCCAACTGGCCGGGAGCGCTAAAGGGAGCTTTAACCCTTAGACGTCGATAGTTGTTGTTGTCGTTTTGCTATACTACTTAATTGTAACTATATGAGCCCTTTTTAATTCCATACGCTGTATGTGTGAAAGTATCCAGGGTAACGACTAATTTCAGGTACTTTACTGTGCACCCGTTGCTGTGTGCACGTACAGCTCATTTAATCTCAGTGGAGAAATACTGACCAATAGGAGGGGATACTCTGGAGCCTCACAAGCATAAGGTCACCATGCCCAATGCTAAGCTTTAGCTAGTCTCAGCTTTAGATGCTCCGCCTATCCTATGCTTTCAATCATGTGATTTTTCTGTTGTGGCCGACATATTTGGGACCGAATTTCTGGCTTCGCTGCTCCACACGAACATAACTAGAGGCGAATATGGCTAAAATGACTCAACTTACTTTGGAAGACAAAAAACGTTACATCAACAAAGTCGATAAAATAGGCTGTGATCCTTATACAGCCCCCCCTTGAACTCCTGGTCCCGCTTAAATTGGCGAAAAAGCTACCAAATTAGTGTTTTCCTGATATATATATATATATATATATATATATATATATATATATATATATATCATGCTCAGCCCCTCTCCCTATTCTGGAGAGTCTCTCACAGCATTTAAAAGAACACAAGCCCACCGGCTCTTCATGTCAGGGTGGGTAAAGGATCCCATGGTGTTCATAAAGAGCAGAAACACTCTTTGTCATCATAGGAGGGTAATGACATCAGCTAATTAACACAGATGAGATCAATGCTAGCCTTTAGATAACTTTAGCTGATGTTATCAGCCGAGAGATGAACAGTCGCCCCCTAACGGAGCTGCAGACCGCCGGTATAACTTTACTCTCTGTTTCTGATTTAAATGACGTTTGAATGGAGAAACATAAACGTTAAATATCAGACTGAACGTCGTGGGTCTGAAAACGACGTCGTGTTTCGACAGACGAGATTCTGTAAGTTTGCTAGTGCAGTTAGTTCAGAGTTCAGCTCCAGTCCTGAAACCCCTGCACTGCATAACTGTGGTTTCCTGGTTAAAATACCTGATATTATTAGCTAATTAATCCCTTCTTTAGCTGAACGAGGTGAACAGCAGAGAGAAACACTGAACTATACAGTGCAGAAGATCCAAGCCTGGAATAAAAACAGTGAATGAAAGGTCTGTGTGTCTCTCGTCTCTCGGCTTCTGTCGCATCTTACAGGTGAATCATTCACAAAGCACAGCAAACTAAAGGCATCACGGTAGCAAAGTCACTCCCTGAGTCGGTCCTCAAAATGGCAGCCACTATAAAGTGTGACGTCACACGAATCCATACAGAACATCTGGACTCTACTAAGGGAGCGTTCAAACAACACCTTTTCAGACTTTCTCAAGCGCAGTTCTTTTCATTGTTGCCCGTAAGGGAGAGAGAGAGAGAGAGAGAGAGCAGAAGGGTGGAGAGAAAGGAAGCAGAAGAAGATAGAGACAAAGAAGAAGAAAAAGAAAAGGAAAGAGCAGAAGGGAGAGGGAGAGAAAGAGAAATCGAAGGAGAGCACATGAGGAAGAGAGAGAGAGGGAGAGCAGAAGAGAGAGAAAAAGATAAAGGGAGAGGACAGAAGGGAGAGAGAAAAAAGAGAAAGAGAGAAAAAAGGTGCACGAAGGAGGGAAAAGAGAAAAGAGCGCATGATGGAGAAAGAGAGAGGGAGAGCAGAAGGGTGGAGAGAGGAAGGAAGCAGAAGTATATAGAGACAAAAAGAGAAGAAAAAGGAGAGAGAGCAGAAGGGAGAGAGAGAGAAAGATAGAAGCGAAGGAGAAAGAGGAGAGGACAGAAGGGCAAGAGGGAAAGGGAGAGCAGAAGGGTGGAGAGAGAAAGGAAGCAGAAGATAGAGACTAAAAGAGAGAGAGAAAGGATAGAGATAACGTGAAGAGAGAAAAAAGGTGAACGAAGGAGGGAAAAGAAAAGAGCGCATGACGGAAAAAGAGAGGTAGAGCAGAAGGGTGGAGAGAGAAAGCAAGCAGAAGAAGATAGAGACTAAAAAAAAGAGAGAACGAATAGAGAGATAACGTGAAGAGAGAAAAAAAGTGCACGAAGGAGGGAAAAGAGAAAAGAGCACATATTAGAGAAAGAGAGGGAGAGCAGAAGGGTGGAGAGAGGAAGGAAGCAGAAGAAGATAGAGACTAAAAGAGAGAGAAAGGATAGAGAGAGAACGTGAAGAGAGAAAAAAGGTGCACGAAGGAGGGAAAAGAGAAAAGAGCGCATGATGGAGAAAGAGAGAGGGAGAGCAGAAGGGTGGAGAGAGGAAGGAAGCAGAGGTATATAGAGACAAAAAAAGAAGAAAAAGGAGAGAGAGCAGAAGAGAGAGAGAGAGAGAAAGATAGAAGCGAAGGAGAAAGAGGAGAGGACAGAAGGGCAAGAGGGAAAGGGAGAGCAGAAGGGTGGAGAGAGAAAGCAAGCAGAAGAAGATAGAGACTAAAAAAAAAGAGAGAACGAATAGAGAGATAACCTGAAGAGAGAAAAAAGGTGCACAAAGGAGGAAAAAAGAGAAAAGAGCGCCTGATGGAGAAAGAGAGATAGAGCAGAAGGGTGGAGAGAGAAAGGAAGCAGAAGAAGATAGAGACTAAAAAAGAGAGAGAACGGATAGAGAGATAACACGAAGAGAGAAAAAAGGTGCACGAAGGAGGGAAAAGAGAAAAGAGCGCATGATGGAGAAAGAGAGATAGAGCAGAAGGGTGGAGAGAGAAAGCAAGCAGAAGTATATAGAGACAGAAAAGAGAAGAAAAAGGAGAGAGAGCAGAAGGGAGAGAGAGAGAAAGACAGAAGCGAAGGAGAAAGAGAAGGAGAGCACATGAGGGAGATGAGTAGAGAGACGGAGCAGCAGAAGGGCAGATGGCTCTATTTTTTGCGGGGCGTGCGGACGGGCGCGGGGGAAGCTGTAGTTTTCTCACGCCCCGGTTCATTTCACATGGACCCCCGCCGTCCGCCCAGTTTGAGATTGAGTGCATCAGTGCACATGGGCCGCTGCCAGGACGCGTTCGTCTGGTCCGTTTGCTTAATTGAACAGCTGATGTTTCGGGATGTTTCTGTTCCGCATGTTCGAATTAGCATTTTGTTGTTGTTTAGGAAAAAAAGAGAGAGAGAGAGAGAGAGAGAGAGAGAGCAGTCCCATGTAGTATGACAGCGATACATAATTAATCCTCCGACGAGCGCATGAGCAGAATGAGGAAGTGGGTTAGCTTTCATGGAGCAGCCATACAATGCTGCCGCTGGTAATTAGATCATGCATATTTAATAACAGTGATTATGATATGCATTTCCACTCTTATCGAGCATGGCTTAAGTGCAACACTCATTCAGTGAATTAAGCTGTGTTTACATTGTAAAGTCATTGCGAGGAAATGAACGCAGCGACGAGAGCAGTTGTCACGTCTCATTGTGCGAGTATCTGCACAGCCACTCCATGACTTTTTCAGCTCCATGAGCCTCCATCATCTGTCGCTGCGCATAAACCCCAAAATCAAAACAACCCTTTGGAAAACAAGTAAATAAATAAATAAATAAATAAACAAACAAGTCCAAACAGATGTTGTTGCACAGTGAGTAGCGGGAGTGAAGCAGCCCCTTGCAATCGTCCCTATCTGTGTTTCTGTGTGCGTGTGCTGTGTTCTAGGGCGGATACGCTGCCTACCGATACGCCCAGCCTGCCACCGCCACCGCCGCTGCCTACAGTGACAGGTAAGACACGCTCTGCTGCCTTCACGCAGGCACATCGCAGGGCCGTGCAAAAGTCAGAGACCACCCTTCGGTTGTTTAACTTCCAGACAACATGGCCGTTAAACACGAGTTATTCGTTTTTCAGGAGAAATTGCTGAGAAGATTGGATGTTAGATAATAAACTGAATCAAAGAATGATGAAAAGCTGCAGAGGACCTCCATGGCTGCGAGTCCAAGAGAGCCCAGTTGGCCTCGCTTTCTGGGTGGGTAGAATGACTTGGGCCCCATTTTGCAGTTGGCGCTTTCCTCCGAGCGCTTCACAGGTCTCAGAGGAAGCCTGTGCTAGCCTTCGCTTGGTATTGTGCGATTGGGGGAGTCCTAACTAGTGGGTGGAATTGGATACAAATAAATTGGGGAGAAAATTGGGGGGAATAAATGGACTGTATGGACTGGAAAGTGAATGTTTTAAAACACTAACAATGTTCACAACTACTACTCCAATTATTAAAAAAATAAAGCAAATAAATTTGGTTTTCCTTAATATGGAAAAGCTTAAAGCTGTCATCTTTGAGAGAGAGGAGAAAACGAAGCTGCTTCAGATCTGAAACAATACACAGGTGTTTCTGTCCATCCTTCCACTGAAGACAAATGGAGTTATGGAATGACTGAATTTGGGAGGAGAACCATGTCTAAAGCCGGGGTTACACTACACGACTTTTACTAATTCACCAACTTCAGCCCCGATTCTCAGTCTGGCTGAGTCTGAGCTGGTCGGCTCTAGTCTGCAGATGTTTGGGTCAGTCGGAGTCGACAGTTGGAGAGAGAGTTGAGTCATGTTTGAGGGGCGCAGACTCAGATTTTTGGCCTCCAAATCGCGTTTCAGACCAGTTGGAGTTTATCGAACGTTTGATTTTTTCGACCCGATTCTGAGCAAAATCCAGTGTAAACTGATCAAAGACTCAATCTGAACGGACTCCTGCAACAGCCACTGAAAACGGAGAGCGCAAAAGAAGAACATACAGCAAGTAAACAAAGAAAAAGTCTCTCACATGTGGAGCGAAGCTTTTTAATGAGCTGAGTTTAAGACACAATCGAGTTTATGTACATTTAAAACTCTAAAAATACCAAACTAATCACATTTTTAAATCCATGATCCATTTAAACAAGTTTACCTGCTGCTTCTTTACTGTCGGGACAGAGAAAACAGCTGCAGCAGCAACACATTTGTTTATTTGGTTCTCTTAGTAACGGGAGAATGCGAGAGTACAGTGAGTTCCGTTTGGTTCTGCAACAGCTTAAAAGTAGTGTGTGATCCCTAATTGTTTACTGTGATCCCCAATATTTCAGTCGTGTAGTGTGAGACGTCCAGTCTTTTATAATCTGTTAAGACACTAAGTCGTGTAGTGAACCCAAGGCTTAAAGCTCCTCCTTCCATCTAACGTCCTAAAAATTTCCCATCTTTACCATCTGCCTCCTTTGAAGTTTTTGCATCGCTTCCCTGTTCCTTAGTTCTATCTAACAGTCCTACTTATGTTTATCAAAAAGAGCAGCTTCAGTCTTTTAGCTTAAAGCAGAAGCCCCCCCAATAACTCCAGCCCAGGTTCTTCACCCTCATTCAGTCATACAGTGTCTTCTCATATTGCACCCACATGCTGCAGGTATAGTCTGAGCATGCAAACTCAGCGCTATGGGTCTGAAAGGATGTGTAGCTGTCAAGAAGAACCTCACTGAGAAAAGGAGACGGACACATCAAACAAAGAAGCTGAACAATGGACTGACCACCCCAGAGTCCAGACCTCAACACCACTGAATGTGTGGATTTCCTGGATTGTGAGAAATAGAAATGCAACTTCTAAGACTGAACTTTGTTGGAAAAACAGTCCTGTAGATTTCTTAAAAAAAAACAAATTCTCAAACAAAGAAAGAATGAAAGGCAAAGAGTAGACACGCTACTGAAAAATGGGGTATTATATTTGGTTCTTGAGGCTTCTGCATTATATTAAATATCACTGCTGTTGGAATATCTCTATTTTTGTTGTTTTTCAGTTTTTAACATAATTTGAAAATGCCTGTTGCCCTCAAGATGAACGGATCAAAATGACTTTGAAAAAACTCCATTGATTTACATTAAAAGTGAAGTATGTTTTGTCCTTCCCCTGTTAAGTTACCATTTTGGAGATGAGGTTCTGACAGCAGTGATATGTTTTCTGCTTTTTTTCCTGACTGAAAAATGAATAACTTGTACTTAATGGCCATTTTGACTTAGAAGTAAACGAACAAAGTGTGGTCTCTGACTTCTGCACAGCCCTGTACATTGACATAGCACTCCACCAGACCGCCGCCTCCGCTCACACTTACTTCTCTGAGGTCAAACTCCCTCCCTTCCACACGAGCAGAGGCAGCCTCGGAAAAGGCCACGCAGATTTATTAGTCTAATTCCCTCCTCCTGCGTGGATGGCGGCCGGCGCAGTAATTGGCAAATTAAATCAAATGAGATGTCACTGCAAACGTAATGGTAAGAGGCGTCCGTGCTGGAATGGTGGACTGTAACTGGAGAATTAAGTGGGATAGGCTTGACAGTCCTCAAGAGATCAGAGGCGAGGGCTCTTTGTCAGACGAGAGGGAATCGGCTGATTTTGACTCCTTTTTTGTCCTCTTTTTTAACCATGATTGCACATTACATTACCGTAGATAGCACGCCCCTCAAAGACGTGCATCAGCGCATTGCCATGTTTTTGCACTGCAAAAAATGACATCCTGGCAAGTGAAGGCATCTTAAATCTAGTCGATATATCTCAGATTTCTCATTGTAAGACTGTTATAAGAATATAGTCTGTTCAGCTGCGTCAACAAATTGCCTAAATCAATAAAAATAGTTTGCAGTGAATCTTAATAACAGTAGCATGGCTGGATAGCACTTACACTTCCCATCCATAAGTAAATACAGTGATGAGCCAATACGTTCTGACCACTCACAGATGAAGCGAAAAACGTTGAATATCGTAACAATGGCCCATGTCGAGGTCTGGGATATAAGACAGTGAGTGAACCGTAGTCGACGTGTAGGATGCAGGAGAAATGGGCAGGTATGAAGACCTGAGCGACCCGGTAGACGGCTGGGTCGGAGCATCTCTGAAAAGCTGAGCTTGTCAGGTGCTCCTGGTCAGCAGTGGTGAGTACCGACAGTGGTCAGAGGAGGGACAAGCTACAAACCAGCCATAGGGTGCTGCCATAAGGCTCACTGATGCACGAGGCAACAAAGGCTACCCCATCTGGTCTGAACCAACAGAATGGCTACTGTGGCACAAGTCACAGAAATCTTTAATGATGGTCATGGCAGTGCATCGCACCCTGCTGAGTTGAGGCTGCATAGCCACAGACCGGTCAGAGTGCTCATGCTGACCCCTGTCGACAGTTGAGAGCTCCTACAATGGGCATGCGAGTGTCGGAATTGGAACTGGGAGCGATGGAAGAAGGTTACCTGATCCGACGAGTCCTATTTTCTTATATCACGTGGACGGCTGGGTGCATTTGCACCATTTACCTGGGGAAGTGATGGCACCAGGATGCACTGTGGGAAGAAGACAAGCCGGTAAAGGAATGTCATGTTCTGGGCAAAGTTCTGCTGGACACCTTCAGAGATCTTGTAGAGGCCATGCTTTGGCAGGTTGGAGTTCTTTTGGTGTCACAAGAGGATCAACTGCATATTAGGCAGTGGTCATAGTGTTTGGCTCATCAGTGTATATATATATATATATATATCTATTGCCAACACTCCAGTGCTTCATACTCAAAGGAAGTGTTCCTCATAGACTTTTATTGATTTTCACAGATTTTTAAGTCTTTTTCTTTAAGATATTTATCAGAATTAAGTGTATTTTTTTGTTTTCTGAAAAAAATCTGCTCTTCTCTTTCAAAAAGCTTTCGTTTTGTTCCGTTTTCTATAACTAACATAATGTTAATTTTCACTAGTGCCTCTTTGGGAATTATTATATTATGTTAGCACCAAGCTAACTGAGGTCATGCCTGATTTATCCCCCTACATTGGCAGGACCTGTCAATAGGCCCAAAGTTTGTTTGCATTGAAGTCCCTTTATTTTCTGAATAATAATCCTTAGAGAACAATAAACCTGGGATTTTAATGGGTTAATAATAATTATGGCAACTGTGCATAAACAAGGACCTTTGAACCTTGTAAGACGTCTGTGTTACATATTCTTTACTTTGTTTTTTAGTGAATTCTTCAATAAATATTTCAGCCTAAAGCCTCACTTTGAATATTATTAAAGGAGCCTCTTAGCCTGTTACCTGAGCTAATAAGTTGAAAAATTCTCATAACGTTCTTACAATCTCAATCAGACATATTATCTATCGTGCCTACGTTTAAGATGCTTTCGCTTGCTGAGAGATCATCGTTTGCAGTGTGAAACCCCAAGCATGACATGAGAGCGCAAGCGTCCTCTTGACAGCTAATGGCTAACCTCATAACAATGTCATCAAACATGTGACAATTGATATTATCCTGCAAAAACATTCGCAAGACAAAGCAACTCTATTATCCTGTCATCCTAGGAGCTCTGTCATAATCTGTCAATGTTATTTATATATTTTTTTTTTTCTCTGCATGCCACTGACAAGTCTGTGCTGTGCTGTGAAACGTCGTGCTGACTAATTGTGAATGGTGTCGCGCCATCTTTACGTCACCTTTCTGTGAGCATCGTGGGCCGTTGTAGCGTGTTGCCTTCAGTACACATCAAAGACAGCTCATTGGTTTGGATTGAGAACTGTTCCCACTCTTCTGTTTCCTGTCTTTTTCACAACACACACTTTCTAACGTGTTCACACTCTCCAGAGGCAGCAATGGCACGAATCTCGTCAGGTGTGAGATCTGAGTAATTTAGCGATTAAGTCATTTGTTGTACGTTTTCCCTTTGTGTGCTCTGTGGCTTCTTTGGGTGAATGCACTGTAGCACGAAGACAGTAGATTGTCTCCAAAGATCAGGCGGAATTGATCTTATAAA